GGCGAGACCTCATCTCCACAATAAAAATTAAAAAAAAAAAAAAAAATTAGCCGGGCATGGTAGCGCGCGCCTGTAGTTCCAGCTACTTGGAAGGCTGAGGCGGAAGGATCGCCGGAGCCCAGCAGGTCGAGGCTGCGGTGGCTGGGAGCGGCCACTGCACTCCAAGTCTGGGCAACAGAGTGAGACTCCAACTCAAAAAAAAGAAAGTGATTTCCCTTTAATCTACTGCACCTTAATTTGCCATCTATTTAATCACTATTTATCGATCGACATATAGTGATTTCCATTTCCTTGGCTCAACACTCTGTCAAAAATATCTGTCTACATATTTTACATCAATCCTTGTCCACTGCTTCAAATGAAGTGCATTACTTCAGTTTTGTTTACCTTGGCAGCTCAAGGCACATCAATTCCCTATAGTGAAATATAAATCAGGTAATTAATCTGTAATACAAGAGTATAAGGGGAAATGAGACTAAGCACTATGGTAGAATGTCCCCCAAAGACATTCACAGCCCCATCCCCAAAACCTATGAATAGGTTACCTTACATGGCAAAAGGGACTTTGCAGATGTGATTAAATTCAGGGTCTTGCAAAGGAAGTTATACTGGATTTTCCAGATGGGCCTAATGTAATCACAAGAGTCCTTGTAAGAAAGAGGCAGGAGGTCAGAATCAGAGATATTTGTGGCGGTTATACTGCTTGCTTTGAAGAAGAGGGGGCCACAGGCAAGGAATGAAGATGGCTTCTAGAAGCTGACAACAGCAAGAAAACATTCTTTCTAGAGCTCCCATTCCTACACATTTCTGTACCAATGTCATCATCAAGGGGCACCTGATCACCTCATGAAAAGTAGCATTCCACCCCTGCCACACAGGCCCTGCCACCCTGTCTGACACATACCACCAGCTGTTCCATCCCACAGGTTTTTGTTTGTTTTCTCTCTCCCCACTAGAATGAAAGCTCCGCTTGGGAATGGGGCTTTGTTTTGTTCACTATGGTATCTTTAGCTGGTGCCTAGAAAACAACAAGCATACAATCAACACTGAGTTAATCTTTCTTGACTGAATGAATAAATGACTGGTCAAAGTGTTACACATTCTTGAGCCCAGCAACTCTATAATCCAAACACTGAGTTTTAGTTTAATTACAACATGCACTTTAACACTGATTTAGTAACAGTTCTATCTTCAAATAGTGAGTGTCATTCCTGACACGAGAAAATGATCTGCCTTTCTTGGTATTCTGATTTGTTAAAAATCAGAAAATAAAAAAATAAATTTGAGCAACTGAAATAAAAAGAGTTTGGCAGATATCTAGATGGCTAAACTGCAAATGCAGGTTAAAAAAATCAATTCAATGCTTCCTGGTAGAGATAAATATTTCAGAATATTCCAGAGCAAAGATTTTGCCATAATGAGTTGGCATAAACTGCAAACAACCTTTTCTGTGAGGTCAAAATAGAAACTAAGCCAGATTCAGGACAATGAACGGAATTCCCGTTAAGCAGGCTTTGGTGCCTCAAACAAAATCAAAGTTTGAATACCCATTATACCATCGTTCTAGCTAAAGATGAAATACAGCAGGAAGGTTATGTGTTTCCCAGCAAATTCTGATCTGCCTGAGGTCAAAGTGTACTATGGCTCATACCTGTTTATACCCACAGCTCAGAGCCTGCACTTGGCCAATTGGGTACTTGCTAAATGAATGCTTCCTGGTAATCAACACCCTCAAGTTACATATCCACAGAAGTAACCATAAACTCAAGTACATATTACAGTTCAATATTTTCAGAACAATTTCTAAAAGTCAAACAATTCCCACAGTGACAGATTCTCTACTATATTAAAACTGTGACTCCAAATCCACTTATGTCAACCTTCTTAATGGAAGAAAAGGGAACTAAAACCAGAAAGACTGAACAGAAATATTCAGTTTGAAAGTATCACTCCATATGTGACTTTTAATTAACAGAGGATTCAGATAACCTTACAATGGAGAAATCTGACAGACACCATCTCCACCAAAGGATCAAATTTTAGCATTATCAATTAAGGTACAATCAATGTCTCTTGATGTGATACACTGGCAGTGGATATCACTGTGTGGTAGCCTTCTGACAAATATGTTTAATCTGAGTGTTATGAAGAAAATCGTTTGAGCCTAGACTGTGAAACACTGTATGAAACAGTCTGGACTCTTCAAAAATGTCACTCTCAAGAAACTGAAGCTGGGCACTGTGGCTCACACCTGTAATCTCTGGGAGGCTGAGGCGAGAGGATTGCCTGAGCTCTGGGGTTTGAGATCAGCCTAAGCAACATGGCGAGACCTTGTCTCTACAATAAATTTTTAAAAACCGGCTGGGTGTGATGGTATATGCCAGTGGTTCAAGCTACTTGCAAGGTTGAGGTGGAAGAATCAGCTGAGCCCAGCAGGTGGAGGTTGCAGTGGCTATGAACGTGCCACCACTACACTCTAGCCTAGACAACAGAGTGAGACTCCAACTCAAAAAAAAAAAAAGAGAGAGACTGAACGAAGGAGGAACTGTTCCAGGTAAAATGAGACTAAAAAGACACAATAGCCAGGCATGGTGGCTTATACCTGTAATCCCAGCACTTTGGGAGACTGAGGCAAGAGGCCTGCCTGAGTCCAGGGTTTGAGAACCAGCCTGGGCAACTTGGCAAGATCTCGTCTCTACAATAAATCAAAAAACTAGCTGGGCATGGTGGTACACACCTGTAGTTCTAACTACTTGGAAGGCTGAGGCAGAAAGATCAACCTGAGCCCAGCAGGTCGTGGCTGCGATGGCCGTGAGCATGCCACTGCACTCCAACCTGGGTGATAGAGTGAGACTCCAACTCAAAAAAAAAAATGACAACTTAATGCAATGTGTGAATCTTGTTACATCATGAAATTAAAAAAAAGTTATTTGGACAATTGGGGAAATTTAAATAAGGCCAGTACATTAGATAAAATTATTCTAACAATGTTGCCGGGTGTGGTGGGTCAAGCCTGTAATCTCAGCACTTTGGGAAACAGAGGTGAGAGGACTGCCTGAACCCAGAGGTTCAAGGCCAACCTGGGTAACTTGGTGAGACCTGAAAAATAAAAAAAATGGCTGGGCATGGTAGCATGTGTCCCAGCTACTTAGAAGGCTGAGGTAGAAGGATCCCTGAGCCCAGCCAGTAGAGGCTGCGGTGGCTGTGAATGTGCCACTACACTCCGGCCTGGAAGACAATGGGAGACTCAATTCCCAAAAAAAAAATACCTCTCAAAAATGTTAAATTTCTTAAGTGTGATATGATTCTGTAGCCATAATAGATGTTTTTTGGAATATACCTGCTGAAGTACCAGGCATCAAGTGCCATGACATCAGCAACTTCCTAACAAATGGATCCACACAAAGCTGAAATGTGACACGTGTGTGCGCGTGTGTATATACACATATACACAGAGAGAGCTCGTGCCCGAGCATGCGCCAAAAAGTCAAAATATTATGAACTCTAAGGCATATAAGTATTTGTTGCACTGTTCTTTCCATTTTCCAGTACCTTTGAGCAATTTTTAAATTAAAAAGGAGGGAAAAATAAGAAAAAAAAGATTAATCTGGTCCTAGTAGCGTCTCCAGATTGCATGAACATTTCCTTTTCAGACAGGCTCCCCAGAATACCATATATTTTTTATCACTGTCAACTGTGATCCTAGTATGTTTTAAAATAATGTGTCTGATTCCAACTAGCGTTATTACCGGTTTCTTTCATAAAACTTATGGCGGGGAAATCCCTAGGCAGATCATATCCTGCAAGTCCCAGGGGTCCAGTGAATGGCATCAGGCAGTCGCTGCCCAGCAGATGAGAAGTCACAGGCTTCCTGTTTGGGACTGCAGGCAGTAATACCACCCTCCTTCCCTGGGCTGTGTCTCAGGGCCCTATTCTCTCTCAAGGCTTATTTAAGTCAAGTCGACTTTGCTGGGCATCCCCACCGGCCTCAGTCTTTCCAGCCTTTAAAGGTCCAACACGGTAACTGCGCCTCCCCTCAAAGCCTTGCCCGATCTTCCCAGATGAAGTTATTTCTCTTCCCTCCAACTCTCTGAGAACTGAGTTCTTCCTCGTACTATGACCCTGGCAACCCTCCCACCAGGCCCCGCAGAAGCTCCGGCGGCGGGCAAGAGTTTAAAACAGCTGTGCCAACCACTGCGCGTGAGCGAGCCACAGGTCTCGGAAGAGATTCCTGGAAAGCGAAGCCGGGGGGCGGGGAGGACCGGGAGGAGATGCCGATCGGCCGACCAGCTCCCGGCGCGGATCGCGAGGGCCACAGGTCACCCGTGGAGGGCGCGCGCCCCGACGCCCCCGAGCCGCGCGCCCCGAGGTGGGGACCACCGCCCCCTGGGCTCGCCGGCTACAAGTCTGAACTCGGGGCGCTCGGAGCCTCCGAGGGCAGGTCCGGCCCGGTGGGCGGCCGAGCTCCCCTCAGCGATCAGGTCCTCCTCCGGCCGCTCCCTCCGACTTCGGCCCCAGAGCGGGCTCGAGGTGGCTGCGCCGCAGGGGCCGGCGAGGAAGTGGCGGGGGAAGGGACTCCGGGCGGGCGAGCGGGAACTGTCTTCCAAGAGAACAGCGCCCATCCGGCAGGTCAGCAGGGAGGAGGGGACCCGCCCCCGCCCCAAGCTCCGCCGAGGCGGCGGCGGCGGCGGCGGCGGCAAGCCCAGTGCGCAGGCGTGGGGAGGGCGTACCTGGGAAGGAGCACAGAGAAGTGGAGTTGGGGCACAGGGTCCCGTTGCCCACCCGCGGCACCAGCTTCAGGCTGAGGATCTGCTGCAGAAGCCCGGCCGACCCTCCGCTGCCGCCGCTCCCCTCGCGCTCCATCCCGTCGCCATTCACCGCAGAGAGTTGAGGGACTAGCGCCTGAGGTGGCGCAGAGGCCGGCTCGGCACACCTCGGCCGCCTCAGCGTCTCCTCCAGCCGGCGCCTTCTCCTTCCTCCCACCCCAACGGCGCTGCCAAGTGATGGTTCCCTCCTCCAATCACAGGGCACCTCAGATAGCAGGGGCGTATTTCGACTGTTTCTTCCTTCATCTGTTCCTACTCCATAAGTGTGGCAAATGACTTGAACGAAATGGGTTTAACTATAATGACATATCGCCTGACCTCAAGAATGGCATTACGATTCGGCTGTTTTTAATGT